ATTATAGCTAGGATAGCTGGACAAGCAGTACAAAATGCCACATTTGAATTCTTTTGATTCTGAAGGACAAATTACAGATTTTTAAGGCAGGAACAAAGGCACAGAATCATTAAAACACTTGGGGTTTTAGGGGATTGTTGCCCAGTGCATCTAGAATGAAGGGTGTGTGGTGGGATTGACTGGAAATAGGCCCGTGTAGGCTACATATGTGCAATGGGAAGTCATGGGGCTTTTCAAGCAAGGGGATGTGATGCTTAGAGCTGTATGTTTCAAAATTGACTTCAACTCCTAGGATGGATTGTACTTGTTGGGTAGGGAAACCAACACTGATGACTTCAGCTTCTGGAAAACTTTGAAACTCAAAACGAACCCTTATAACAGTGAGAAGTGGCTAGTAATGTTAGGAAGGGATTGGAAATAGAACTTGTCAAGCTTGATTTGAAAACTTTATCCAGATAGATTTAAGGAGTGTCCTTAACTTCTTTTTATGCCGTTTTTCACTTGAGGGTTAGTAATGCCAAAAGTCTTTAGCATGCTTTAGGTACAGATGAACCTCAATTTAGGAATAGGTTGAATTTTTAAGTTTTCACTTATTCAACAGGATAATGCATATCATTTTGGACTTAGAATACATTTCTTCGGCCCGGCGCAGTGGCTCACACCTGTAATTCCAGCACCTTGGGAGGCCGAGGCGGGTGGATCACAAGGTCAGGAGATCGAGACCATCCTGGCTAACACGGTGAAACCCCATCTCTACTAAAAAATACAAAAAATTAGCCAGGCATGGTGGCGAGCACCTGTAGTCCCAGCTACTCAGGAGGCTGAGGCAGGAGAATGGTGTGAACCTGGGAGGCGGAGCTTGCAGTGAGCTGAGATCGCGCCTCTGCGCTCCAGCCTGGGAGACAGAGCGAGACTCCAACCAAAAAAAAAAAAAAGAATACATTTATTCATATAAATATTGTTACAAGACAAGGTCATTAAATGCCCAGCATAGGGAAGGAGGCAGCTCTGCCATGGTGGAAGGAGCTCAGGCTGAGAATTAGGACACCTGGGTTCAGCCGTCTCTAGCCACTTACCAGCTATGTGCCTTGCGGGGAATAGCCTCCTTAGAAGCCCACTCTTTCATTTGTAAAATGCTAATAAATACTCACAAGGTTATTGTGAAAATCAAGTTTTTTGTGGAGGTGCTTTGTGAATTTTAAGACAAATACTATTTATGAAGTACACGTGTAAGAGGAAAAAAAGTAATTTTTTTTTTAACTTCTGGATGGGAACGTTGATTTGTGGTCAGGAACACACCTTGGTTGCTGCGGTTGTGGGAGAGCAGACTGCAAGTTACAGAGCAGCACGAGGAGAAGCCCACCCTGGCCTCATGGTGCCCTCAAACCTTGGAGAGGAGAGAGAGAAAGGACAGTGAGTCTCAAACTTTAGCTTGCCGTAGACTCAACTGGGGAATCTTAAAATTACAGATCCCAGCATTGCTACTTCCCGGTGACCCTCACCACAGTGTCTAGGAAGGGCCCCGGCTTGGGGTAATTGGAAGAGGGAGGAGGTAAGAGCAGGCGGGGGCCCGGGTGCTGGTGGGAGATGGAATGAGGTTTGGGGACTTGGAGGATTGTCTGTTCAGTGTCTTCATCCTTTCCTCCCGCTGCGAGAGGGGAGGGAGCTGGCTGCCTATAGACCAGGTATCTAATCTGCACAAAATAAATGGGTGCTCCATTGGTGAAAAAGGATGACACACGTGTGTGTGTATCTATCAAAATATATTCAATTGATGTTATTAGGACATGATTTTGGATTATTTCATTCCTCCCCTTAATTATATCAAGCTTTATGCATTCAGCAAACACTTGAGCGTGCTCAGCTTTGTGCTAATAAGTACTGTAGTAAAGTATGGTAAACATTGTTTCTGCCCTCAGGGAGTTACAATCTGTTTTGTTTAAACAAGAGTGTAATTAACATGAGACGAATAATCTTCAGTAGAGTCCTCTCAAATCCCATAAGACTGAAAATTGATATAATGTGTCATATAGTCTGGTGGAAATTTTCTTTAATCAGAAAGAGTTAATGTAGCATCCTGGAGAGTCTAATTTAACTTTAGATTGTAGGTAATTTCTGTGCTTCCAGCAAAATTATGAACCTTACAAAATTCTCAGCCATAAGGATTGCGATTTTTTGAATTAGATTACATAGCAAACCTTTCCTTGAGCACCTTTTTCTTAACAGAATAGGTTTGGATTTTTAAAAAAATATATTTTATGTTCTGATTTTTTAAAATGCCGTATTTGTCTCGGTTCCTTAGAATGCCAAAACATGGCATATGTGTTTAAGTGAAAAAAAGTGGATTCCCAATTTTGTTAGACTCTCAAAAATGTCGATAATCACTGGAATAAACTTAGAGAAAATAATTTAAAATATTATTTTCTGTAGGCAAGAAGGCAAGAAAAGCTCTTAAGGGGTGCCTTCAGAAGTTTTTGTCATTTTCCGTTTTTATTCTTCAATTACATGCTCACAACTCAGTATTTGCTTTACTGGGACTTTCATGTTCAAATGACATACATATGTATAATGTATTTCAATTTTTAAGTAAAATATATCTCCAAATTTTATACAAAATTAATAGCCTCTATAAAATATACTTCCTATGTCAACAGATGAATTGCAGCATTTTTTTCTTTTATATTTAAGATTAAAAAAAAAAAGGAGGGGAGAGTAGGAATACTTTAGGGTAAGTAGACCTAGGCTTTTGTTTCATCTGTTCCATCCTCTTTCTACAACAGCCATGCAGTGCAGGTCAGAGTTCCTGAGTCCAGCCTCCTTTTCTGGGTTTACTTGGTGTGCATTCTTATGCAAGTTACTCAACTACTCTGTGTCTCAACTAGTCTGTATACTGTGGAAATATTTGTACATATGACATAAGGTAGTTGTGAGGATTTATTTGGCTAGTACAAGTAAAGTACTTATAAAGTGTTGGGTGTGTAATAAGCATTCAAGTGTTAGCTCCGTTGTTTTCATCGTTATTATTACTAAGTTGAAATGAAAAAAGGAATTCAAAACATTGGGCAGATGATGAATGAACCCTGGAGACTGTGAAAGAATGTCAGGAACTCCAAGTGTTGTCCTTGTGTATTGTCTAAAAGGCACCAGAGACCTCTCTCACCTCCCATCCTTATTCTGAGAAAGCGAGGTATTTTAAGGACATAGAGGGATGATGACCTTGACAGATCCTAGTTAGCACTCCAGAATTGTGAAGGTCAAAGGCCAACTTAATGGCATAATAGGAAATGCATTACTGTTAAAGTCAGCAGAAGTCAAGAATGCCCCCTTTGGAAGGCAGCTATGCTCACCACTCTACCACCAACACCAAGAGTGCCCCCATTTATTGTTCAGTAATATTCTAAAAGTTTATTGTTTTTGTCAAATAGGAAGAAGAAACTAATAGTAAAATTATAAAACAGGAACAAAATTATTATATTTAAATAGTATTGTTTAAAATGAAGAATTAGGGCCGGGTGTGGTGGCTAACACCTATAATCCCAGCACTTTGGGAGGCCGAGGCAGGCGGATCACCTGTGAGATGAGCCTGGCCAACATGGCGAAACCCTGTCTCTACTGAAAATACAAAAATTAGCCAGGCGTAGTGGCATGTACCTGTAATCCCAGCTACTCAGGAGGCTGAGACAGGAGAATCGCTTGAAACCAGGAGGTGGAGGTTGCAGTGAGCCAAGATCACACCGCTGCACTCCAGCCTGGGTGACAGAGCAAGACTCCTCAAAAATAAAATAAAATACAATAAAATGGAGAATTGAAGATAAGTTTTAAAAACTATATGAATTAACAGTTTAGTAAATGAACTAAAAATAAATACATTGCAAAATAAATACTCTTCAAAAATAAATACCTTTACAATATCCAGTAATGTATAATAAAAATTGTATGAATATTAGCAGAAAAAAATGTTAAACTCACAGGAGAAATTTCATAAGAAATGAATATGTTAACAATATCTGTAGAATTCTTCTCAAGTACTGTCGAAAAACAATTTGAACAATTGAAGGTATATGTTGTATATATACGCACATGCCTATATATCCAACATATATATACCCACACCACATTTATGGATCTGAAGGCTCTATATTGTAAACATGTAAAATTAATTATTAATTAATTTTGTAAGTGAAAATCCAATTATAACCTCAGAGGGTTTACCAAAGTATAAGCATGGCAAGTCTTCAGTATGATAAAGGTTGCATTTACGTTCAATAGGAGAGAAATAATTTATTCAGAAAAGGATAGTTGAATCATTGTGAAAATAAAGACCAAATTTTATTATGTTAGGATGATTTTTTTTTTTCCTTAGAGACAGGGTCTTGTGTCATCCAGGCTAGCGTGCAACCTCAACCTCTTGGGCTCAAGTGATCCTCCCAGCTCAGCCTTCCTGAGTAGCTGGGACGATAGTTGCGTGCTTAGTAAAGACCGGCTCTTGCTGTGTTACCCAGCCTTGATTTAAACTCCTGTCCTCAGCTGTTCCCCCTACTTCCTCCAGCCAAGTAGCTGGGATTATAGTCATGAGCCTGGCAGATGAAATTTTTAAAGACAGAAACTAAAAGGAACAAATGGTAGACTCGTTAATAAGAAAAAAATTTTAAAATTTCAAAAGATGAATATATCTTATTTAAAAAAGTCAAATGGCAAACTAAGTTAGATATTTGTAACTTCAATTATCTAGAAGTAACTATTTGTGTTTCCAAGGCAAAATGGATTTTTAAATGAAAAAATATAACTAACTTTAAGAATAAAACAATAAGATCTGATCTATTTGGTTTTCATTTTTCTTTCTTTCTCTTCCTCCTTATTCTTCCTTCCACCTCTCTTCTTCCTTCTTTCCTCTTCCTCCTTCTTCTTTCTCCTACTTCTTCTTTTTCTCTTTCTTTTTTTTTTGAGAAACAGGGTCTCACTATGTTGCCCAGGCTAGAGTGCAGTGGCTGTTAACAGTCACAATCATAGCACACTGCTGCAGCCTTGAATTCTGGGGCTCAAGAGATGATGCTGCCTCTGCTTCCCCAGTAATGGATACGACAGGCATGTGCCACTGTACCTGGCTTGGGTTTCATTTCTAAGAGTATTTTCATAGTTTGATTCCTTAGTTAAGACTTATTTAATCAGAAGCCCGCCATCAGCTGTATCTTGTGATGTAAGAAAATTGAATTGTGTCTTCCAGGTTCATCTTAGTATGTTCTTTCTACTTGGACAGATAGCAAGGTATTGATTCTCATATGAGACTGATTTTTATTATTAGCTTGTTATCTCTCTCTTACCTTTTCTTCTTTTTTTCTCCTTTACTCGTTTCATTTTAAATTGGTTTAAAAACACAGGTAAGATTTGTCATAAAATTTCAGGCATTGCAGCAGTATATCAGAAGTGGTAGTTCCCTTTTTTCTCCCACCCCTAATCCTGTACCCCTAAGCCACCATATTTCTTTATTCTGAGTTATCTTTACCTGTTGATTCCATTCCTCTCTCAGTTCTGTTAGCGATAGTTTCCATCTAATGGTTTCTGTCTATTAGCGGATATTAGACCCTCATATATTTTGTTGAATGAGTGAGTGAATGAAAATGGTGACTGTATGCTTAATTCCCTTATGAGCCAATCAATCACAATTTTAAATGTAGCCCTGGGGCTTTTGTTGAAGAGCCAGTATTCTTTTTTACACATTTCAATATTTGAAATGCTTATCTTTGAAATGGCTTTTCTGTAAGATGAACATGTTTATGCTAAAATTCTAATTTAAATTTCTTTTTTCTTACAGCTGCTTTTGCAGCAGTGTTGCACTGGTAAGATTTTTTTCTCCTATGGTATCTTATGCAAATGTTTATGACTTACTAAAGCTATTTCCCATACATTTAAAGGAATAATTTCAGCATGATCAGTATGAATATATATTACATGTAACACAATAGTCTGAAAAACTAGTTTAATTGATAAATCAGGGTCAGAATAATATAATTGTTTAATAAAAAAGAGATTCATTATTAAAGAGGCTGTATTTGAGACTCCACTCAATATTAATATGTTCATGGTGAGAGAAAGATTAATTTTTTAATCTTCTAGATAGAAATATGAATTTCATTAGATGTTTCTAAAATGGTAACTCAGTGACATTTACAGTTTAATCTATACTTTTATTGTACTTGACTTAAAATATTCTGGTTCATTTTAATTTTAAAATCTAATTTGATTTTTTAATAGAGGGAAATTTTAGTATAAATGCAATACATACTGAACGGAAAACAAATATAGATACTATTGTATTTGAGTTTTATTACAAAATTATCTGCAAGTTAGTTGATACTTTTATTTTTGCTTTTAGCTTAGTTTAAAAAATAATACTTACAGTGTAAGCTTTAACACTGTTGCTTTGTTTTGTTTTTCCAGGAGCCATATAACACACCTCTTTGAAAATGACCGTCATTTTTCTCACCTCTCAACATTGGAAAGGGAGATGGCTTTTCGCACTGAAATGGTTAGTTTTTATTTGGCATTTCATTATAGTACTTTAGGAATTTAAAAACATTTCAGATTTTTTATTATGGAAAATTTCAAGATGTTCCAAAGTAGAAAGAGTGGATGCTCCAGCTTCTACAGCTGACAGCCACAGCCGGTTTTCCTTCGTCTACACCCCCACTCACTACGTCTTTTTTTAATTTTAATTTTTATTTGTTAATTTTTTTTTTTAGACAGAGTCTCACTCTGTCGCCTAGGCTGGAGTACAGTGGCGCCATCTCGGCTCACTGCAAGCTGCACCTCCCAGGTTCACACCATTCTCTCGCCTTAGCCTCCCTAGTAGCTGGGACTACAGGCACCTGCCACCATTATAGTAGAGATGGGGTTTCATCATGTTAGCCAGGATGGTCTCGATCTCCTGACCTCGTGATCTGCCTGCCTCGGCCTCCCAAAGTGCTGGGATTACAGGGGTGAGCCACCGTGCCCAGCCAACTATCTCTTTTTAAAGGAAATCGCAGACATTATATCATTTCATGCTTTCATACTTTCATAAGTGCATAAGTGTCTCTAAAGATAAGACTTTGTTTTAACTATGGCACAAAACCATGGCACAAGACATAACTGGAAAACATTTAACAATATCCTTAATATCATCAAATAGAAATCAGTATTTAAATGCCCTGTTTGGCACTAAAAAAAAAAAAAGAAAGAAAGAAAAGCAGTTGATGTGTTTGAATAGGATCCAAACAGTGCCTACAGATTGCACTTAGTTGATGTGTATCTTAAGTGTTTTAGTATGTGAATTCCTTTACCTGTTTTTGTTTTGTTTTCCTGCCATTTGTTTGTTGAGAAATCCAGGTGATTTGTCCTATACCCACAATAATCCACATTCTTCAATTATGTTCCTGTATCCCAAGTTTCCTGAACATTTATGGATCAGAAGATTTGACTTATTTTCTGGCAGGAATACTTCCTAGGTGATGCTGTATACTTCTGTTGTGTCAGGCCAAGAGGCACATCATATCTGGTTGTCTCGCTTTCTGTGATGTTGAGATTGATCACTGGCTTTAGGTATTGTGATGCTGATTTCTCCTATAGCCTAGCCATCAGCCTAGGTTAGTTATTTCGTTATCCTTTTCAAACTGTGATACCTAGCCTATCATTTTTTTCCCTGCACTTATTAGCTATAATCACTGAAGCCTTAGGTATTGTGGATGCTGATTTTCCTATAGCCTAGCCATCAGCCTAGGTTAGTTATTTCATGGTCCTTTCAAACTGTGATACCTAGCCTATCATTTTTTTCCCTTGCACTTATTAGCTATAATCTTCTATTTATTAAGAACTTTCACACAATACCTTTTGATTTCTCTCTGAGGTATATTTCATAGAGGAAAGACAAGAAAATGCTTTATTCTTTCTTTTCATTTACCAGTTTTCAGAAAAATAAGTAGCTTCCCTAGCATCTTCTAGTAGTGATCAATGGAGTACCTTCTTTTGGAGTATCATTGTGACATGATGGATTTTAACATATTTTGTAAACTTTCTTGTCCTTAGCTAGTAAAACCCTTGCAGCTCTCCCTGTTTGCCCTTGATGTGACCTCACTAGTATCCATAGGTTCCTTACTTTCAGGTACTACAAGGCATTTTCTTCTCAGACCTGGCATCAGCCAGTTTTCCAATGAGCCACCATTCCTGTCAGTGGCAGATGCTCATTGCTACTAGATTGACCATTGTATTTTGGCCTTTTTACTGAACAGAATTAGGCTACAAAAATTTTTTTAAAGAGAAAATAAATCAAGAATTTGTATTAATTTTTTAAATGGAAAGAAGATTAGATTTTTTTACTTATTTGATATTAATCTTTTTAGTTTGAGAATCTTGGTGTCAAATTATTGATTTGTTAGGAATAAAAGTACCAAAGGTATAATTAAAAATATGATTACTGAAAAGAGTTTAAGATGTTCTTGCAGTTCGGTTCTTCACAGGGCAACCCCCAGAACTGGGGCTCAGCCCAGGAGGCCATGTGGGTTCTTGGCTTTGGGCGGGAAGGAATTCAAGAATGTGCCAACAGAGTAAAGTGAAAATGAGTTTATCTTAACAAAGTAAAGGGATGAAAGGGTGGCTACTCCACAGGCAGAGCAGCTGTGAGGGCTGCTGGATCATTGTTTTTAAGGTTGTTTCTTCATCATATGCTAAACAAGAGGTGGATTATTCATGAGTTTTCTGAGAACAGGGAGGGGAATTCCTGGAACGAGGGTTCCTCCCTCTTTCAGACCATATAGGGTAACTTCCAGAGGTTGCTATGGCATATGTCAACTGTCATACTGCTGGTGGGAGTTTCCTTTAGTATGCTAATGTATTATAATGAGCAATAAGGATGACTAGCGGTCACTTTAGTTGCCATCTTGGTTTTGGCAGGTTTTGGCTGGCTTCTGGCTTCCTTACTGCATCCTGTATTATCAGCAGGGTCTTTGTGACCTGTAACTTGTGAAACCAGTCCTGCCGAAATCCTGGGCTCCATTTTAACCTTAGGATATAGTCCACTAGGAATATACAGTAAAATTACAATATCTTACTGTTAATTGAAATCTTCTCCCAAGTTGATAAATAGTTCATTACTTTCTTTCATTTTTATTTTGATATTCAGGTAGTTTTACATTTTTGTTTTATAATTAAGCATATGTTTCCAAAATCAAACCGACAAAAGAAGGAAGGTATAGTTTTCTAGGGCTGTCATAAAGAAGTACAACAAACTAGGTGACTTAAAACAGCAGAAATGTGTTTTCTCACAGTTCCAGAGCCTAGCAGTGGGACGTTAAGGTGTTGATGGACCTCTTGTCTCCGAAGACTGGAGGGGAGAGTCCTTCTTTGCCTCTTGTCAGCCTCTGGTGGTTGCTGGCCATCCTTGGAATTCCTTGGCATGCTGATGCCTCACCCCAGTCTCTGATCCATCTTCACACGGCCTTTTCCCCTGTGTGCCTGTAGCTTTGGGGCCACATATTCCTCTTTATTTAGATTTACCAGTTGTGTTGGGTTTAGAGTCCACCTTAATCCAATATGACCGCATCTTAACTTGATCACGTCTGCAAGAATCCTATTTCCAAATAAGATCACATCCATAGGGTCTGGTGGACATGAAATTTTAGGGGACACTATCCAAATCAGTACACAAGGAAACATAATTTTAAAAATAGTGATATTAGAGCTAATACATTGGAGTATCAACACCATTTTTTTCTTTTTCAAGAAATTTCTGGGTAGGCATATCACTTTTGTATTTATGAGTCTTAAACCCAGTTTAAACTTTGGCAGCTACCAGGGCAGCTCCAGGCAAAACTGAAGATGCAAATACAAGATGTAGATTTATCTTGTCCTTCTCTGTCTTCCTTCATACTGCCACTTAGACTCCCCGTTAGGCTTCTAGTATTTTCTTGTTTTTTTGTCTCACATATTATTCCACTCTTGCTATCTTTCCAAAGTAGTGTGCCAAGCTAAAAAACTATCTCTTTTCTTCAAAATAGGACCACTCCCCACCCTCATCCCCAGTCCCACAGGGTTCTTACCTTATGCTGACTTGATAGGAGGGAAAATAATCTGTAAAATTAGGTGGCACCTGAGTGAAATTCATATGTAATAATACATCAGTGTATAACCTTCTCAATGTATTTGCATTTTTGCATGTAAATCCAGAGGAAAAATGACTGATAGTGTCATTTTGGGGATTAAAATAAGCAGTTAGAGGAACATTTTTGGCTTGAGATTTCTTGGTTCGTGATAAATTTTAATTCCATAATAAACCACTCACTCTATTCATAAGATAGCATTTTCTAATGGTTATATTGGTATGGGTAATAGGATTTTCTAAGTTGAAGTATGCTGAGTTGTATTATTTTGTAAATGCTGAAACTTTTTGAAGCTATTTTGCATTCAGTTATTTCAACTAAGAAATGTTTATGTGAAAATACATAGTTTTTTCGCAACTTTAGGATTTATCAGTGATCAGAAACCTGTGAAATTCATTGTATTAATAGCTGTTACTTGCTTAATTGCTTTGTTTTTCAAAAACAGTGTATTTACTTAGAAGAGGCATCATAATTGTTATTTTAACTGAGCTTATCCTTATTTCAGGGACTATATTATTCCTATTTCAAGACTATTGTGGAAGCACCCTCATTTTTGAATGGAGTATGGATGATTATGAATGATAAACTGACTGAATACCCTCTTGTTATTAATACGTTAAAAAGATTCAATCTTTACCCTGAGGTAAGACACTTTTTCCAGTTGTGACTTTTCACTTTTGTAAAACTTTTTTGTATTAAATGCTGATTTTAAATCTAAGATATTAGTTAATATATCAAATTGTATTTAATTTTTTAAAAGAAAATATGGGCCAGGCGCGGTGGCTTAAGCCTGTAATCCCAGCACTTTGGGAGGCTGAGACGGGCGGATCACGAGGTCAGGAGATCGAGACCATCCTGGCTAACACGGTGAAACCCCGTCTCTACTAAAAATACAAAAAAACTAGCCAGGCGAGGTGGTGGGTGCCTGTAGTCCCAGCTACATGGGAGACTGAGGCAGGAGAATGGCATAAACCTGGGAGGCAGAGCTTGCAGTGAGCCGAGATTCGGCCACTGCACTCCAGCCTGGGCGACAGAGCGAGACCGTCTCAAAACAAACAAACAAAAAAACATAAAGAAAATATGTATCTTGTGGAGAAATATGTAAAAAAGATCATTACTGATTTTGAGGAGAAGGCTTTAATTCTGTGGGGAACTGTTGTTGTGATTGCATTGTTTAAAAAATACAAAAACTAGATTTGGTGTACTTGTAGGGTTTATGCTAAGGGAGCTCTGTTACTTTTACATGTCATTTGTTAAATGTTTTCTTTCTTATCCTCATTTAATTGAGTGCACTTTCTTGAGTGGGGGTGGAGGGAAGGTGAGCCCAGTTCAGCAAGTGGAGATGACATTTGACCTCTCCTTTATCCTCCTTGCAAAACTATAAATTTGTTGATGTGGAACGCTAGTTCAATAGAATGTATACTTTAATGATTTTGTCAAAAGTCCTTCAAGATGATATTGAACTATCCACCAGCAGTGTTTTCGAAACTATTTATTTACCTGCATCTTTGTTAATTGGATAGACAAAGAAATTGAAGTCATATGATGTATTTCATTCATTGATTATATATATATTTTAGTGTTCTCTATATATGTGTATATAACACACATACATATACATATAATACATTTTTGCTTTTAAAAATAATTGCCAATTCATGCCTTTTATCTATATTTCTATTAAAATTTTATAAGAGCTCATTTATTATATACTGGATATTAATATAATGCTATATAATGAAACATTTTCCCCAGTTGTTTGCGCTTTAGCTTTGTGTATGATGTCTGTGTATTTTTTTATACAGAAATATATCTATGAATCTTTTTTGTCTTTTATACATACATGTAAAAAACTTCATCTTTATAATCATAATTTTTTTATATTTACATTTTTAATTTATCTGGAATTCGTTTTGATGCATAGTGTGGGGTAGGCATCTAACCTTGAATTTTTTGTTTTGAAAATGGTATTGTGTGTAACCTAACACTGATGAGGTGTCCATCCTCTCTCCACTGCTTTGAAGTAAACGTTCTTCTTTATATGCAAAATTATTATACATACATGCTTGCATGTGTTTCTGGATTTTGTGCTCAGTATTGCCTTAGGTTGAGGTTGTGGGAAGTGGACTTTGAGATGGAGATTTACATGCAGGAAGTAGTTGAGGGAGTGACCTTAGGGTCAACACCTGAAGGGGGATGAATGAGGCAGGAGGAAGAGGAGAGCTTTGATGCAGTCACTGTGAAAGCCTCATCCAGTCCCTGGGCAGCTCTGGATCTGGGATGACCTTACAGAGTTGTCCTACCTTGAGAGAAGGGCCCCTGACCTTGATATCTTTCCCTATTGACTAGTCAGTCATTGGATGCAGATTGCCCTTGTGTAGGGGTTGTCACCTTGAGTGAATTTACTTTCTTCAGCCACAGGCAGTTCCCGGGGAGGGATGCAGCTTTCAGCTCTCACTTACCAGTCTTCCAACCAGCTGGAGGAATGAGTGCCTCACCCCAGAAGAGGGAATCTGGGGTGGCTTATCACCACCTATACCATGGCTACATTAATCTGTCTAGCCATTCTTGTGCCAGGATCACACTATTTTAATTATTGAAAGTGGTAAGACTTAATATCTGTTAAAACATTCCCTTTAGTTTTCTCGATACATTTTAGATACTAGGAATTTTGAATAGAATTATTTTATGTTTATGAATTAATTTGAGGGAGAATTCATATCTTAAATAATTCAGTCTATTCCAGTAGACCCAGTATCTTTTACTTGTGCAAATCCTCTTTTGTGTCTCTCAGTAGAGTTGTATAGTTTTTGAAAATCATAAATTTAGCGCTTTTTTTGGCCCATATTTTGTCCTTACCCATGGATGAACAATTGAAAACTGACCAGTGAAGAATCTGCCTAGGAGATTCTGAGCCTCATTTTACTACATTTAAAGGGAGCCAAGTGGATGGTATAGAAAGGGAAAATACGATAATTGTCAGAATATCTCAAAAGTATTCTAGTAATGAAAATTGTTTAGTATATTTTCTTAAGATGCCTCCATTTTTATTTTTTTTTTTAAAAAAGGTAATTTTGGCCAGCTGGTACCGGATTTATACCAAAATAATGGACTTGATTGGTATTCAGACCAAGATATGTTGGACGGTTACCAGAGGAGAAGGACTCAGTCCTATTGAAAGCTGTGAAGGTAAGTTTCTTTCTGTGATATTGTCCAGTTATCTGTTGTAACATAATAAACTTATCCAGCATAATAAACTTACACTGTAAACTTACTGGTATAAACAACACCCATTTTATTATGCATATGCATTCTGCAGGCCCAGAATTTGGGCAGGCTTTAGCAGGGCTGGCTTATCTCCATGATTTCAGGGACCTCTGCTAGTAAGACGCAAATGTCTAGGAAGACTGGAATTAACTGAGAGGCTGCATTGCTCACATTTTGGCTCCTGGGCGTGGAGGACTGTGAGGCTGAGCTCAGCTGGAACTGTCAGCTGGGACACCTACCTGTGGCCTTTCTGGGTGACTTGGGCTTTTTGATAGCAAAGTACCTCAGAGTTGTAGTAAGGCTTTTCCTATGGCAGCTGAAGGCTCCAAGGCGGACGCTGCATGGCCTCTTATGACCTAGTCTCAGAAGTCACATGGTGTTGTTCTGCCGTACTCCATTGAAAGAGTCACAAGACCAAAGAAACTCAAAAATGGGGGCTATAGACCCCATACCTCCCGAGGAGGCGTATCTGTGAATTTGCAGCCCTCAAACCACCATTGCTTATTACCCTGATCGCATATATGTTCTGCAGTAGTGTTGTGTTTTCATGTGGGAACCAGGGCAACTATTGAATATATCTGGCCACCATTTTCAACATGAACACAATTTAATATAAATTGCTAGACACATAAGGTAATTTGGGTTAATGTGGTTAGAACATATGTTTTGTTTATTTTTAAAGGATTGGGAGATCCTGCTTGCTTTTATGTTGCTGTAATTTTTATTTTAAATGGACTAATGATGGCATTATTCTTCATATATGGCACATATTTAAGGTAAGATAATATTTTACTATGTGTTTATAAGATATAATAAAATAAAATAGTTGATTGCTTAATAGTTAATCATTGATTAATTTATAGTTCAGTTTTATGAAAATATCCTAAAATACCTTATTATCATAAAATCATTCATTATTTGCATGATTTCACCACTGCCATGGCCCATCACACTTAAGATAGTTTTAGAGGTATAAATAGAGTTGGGAATACTTGATAAATTTAATTTTTTTTTTTTTTGAGACAGGGTCTCACTCTGTCACCCAGGCTGGAGTGCAGTAGTGTGATCTGTGCTCACTACAACCTCTGCCTTCTGGGTTCAAGCGATCCTCCCACTTCAGCCTCCTGAGTAGCTGGGACTGTAGGTGCACGCCACCAAACTCCGCTAATTTTTTGTATTTTTTGTAGAGACAGGGTTTCACTATGTTGCCCAGACTAGTCTCAACTTCCTGAGTTTGAGTGATCTGCACATCTCAGCCTCCCAAAGTACTGAGATTACAGGCATGAGCCACAGTGCCTAAATTTTAAATATTCATAGGCATTTGGGCATAAACAATATATATTCCATATATGGTTATGGAATATCTAATATATTGTTATGGAACAATATATTCCATTTGCTGTATGTATGTGTATATGTGTGTGTGCTGAGATGTGTGAAGTCTGACTTCTTACTATAGTTTTGGTGTAAAAAAAAGTCTGCAGACTACTGCTTAAGGTAGCATGAGGGAGCAGCTTTTACCTTAGAGCATTTGGGTCTTTCCAGATAGCTGACTCCGTTCTTCTTCCAATGTCAATGGCTGTAGATTGTTTCAGCTCCTTCCAGTATACATTATTTGCATAATATATAAGGGAAAAGACCACTCATTATCAAATAATATTAATAACTCTTTACTAACGTTAAAATAGAAGTATTTTCTATGTAATATTTAGAAGTATCTTCTGTACAGTATTTAATATCTGACCTGATTTAGTTTGTAGTTGAGCAGCATTCCTAAAACTAAAAGACTACTTTTTTAAGGCTTTTTATGTTTACTTTTCTTCTTTCTTATTTGTTTGCCAATTTATTATACTGTATATGTTTGAAGTATTTTACCTTGAGATTATCTTTAGAATTTTCTTCCTTGCTGCTTATTGATTCTTTGTAGTACAGAAATTACAAGAATTGTATGTGATTTTCAATTCGGGATAATGAGTTTGAATTTGCTATTATCCCATTATCTCCCTTCCTTTGGAAGTGTGGCATTTTCAGTTTAGTACCTCAAAGATCTGTTGAGTTTCTAGCCCACCGTTTGAGTATCTAGCAGTTACTTGATAAGCATTTGTCAAACGAGGAAGCTGTTAGAAGATCAATATAAACATATTTGCATATAGATTTTAAGATACTTTGATGTTGTCTTTCTGACTTAGGTCTAAGAAAATTATTGTTTAATTGGGGAGACAAAATAAAATGCATATTAAAGATGATGTGAAAGATTTTGTTTTGAAACAAGACTGGGAAATAAGTTAAACAAAGACTATGGTAATGAGAAAAGGGCTGACTTGAGGGAAAGTGGACCCTGTGCTTACATCCTAAGCCTAAACAGAAGGAGAAAGAACTTGAAGTAGAGTTATCTAATTCATTTTACTAAAGTATTTGCCCCATCATCTCCCAGATGGCTATTACATTGGGGGATTAGATTTTAAATAAGAGAAGTTGAATATGAAACATGGCATGTTTGCTAAGCTGCTAATCATATGCTACCTTTTTGTAAAAAAAAATGGGGTCTTATATATTGTTGCCAAGGCTGGAGTCCAGTGACATTACAGATGTAGTCACAGTGCACTACAGCCTCAAAGCGCTAGCTTTAAGCAGTCCTCCTGCTTCGCCTCCAAGTAGCTGGAACTACAAGTATGTGCCACTGTCTGCTTGCTACTTTTAATTGAAAGAAGAATTTATACACAGATTATTCAAATCATTCATATTTGCCTTGCAGTGGCGTTTCAACTGTTTTTCAAAGGCAGAAGGTACAACATCTACTGAAGGCCAAGTTTCTGGTTTCAGTTGAGGTTCTTGATGGTTTGGCTCTGACCTGACCTTTCTCAGTCTTTAACCCCTGTAGCCTGGTAGGCAGTTTCTGTCACCATAAGAGATGCATATTCAGTTGTTCAGTCACTTGCCCAAGTTCATACCAAGTAGTTTCTTAGGCTATTTGGGCTCTGAGAGCATGGGGATGCGACAGAGGTGTGTCATGAATGGAAGATAGTGGGAAGGAAGGATGAGTGCTTGAACTCCAGAGGCAGAAGGAATTTGTTCTTTGCATGGGAGGCCACTTCAATGTGACCTTAGAATCAGAGGTATTTGGATGAGTGGAAATAAATATGAGGATAAAGCATACCAGGGCGAAGGCAAAATCTAGTATGTGGAAAGCGGGTAATAAGCAGATCAGTTTGCTGGGATGCATGTTCTTCAGGAGTGTTGTGGAAGGATTCAGATGAACAGTTGGTTGTGCTGGATGATGAAAGGCTGGAAGTAGCAGCTGGGTTAAACCTATTCAAAGCAAGTGAAATAAATGCAAAAATTGATCAGTATAAGTGGGATTCAAGCTGAAGTATGATCTCATGGAACCTTGACTCACACATTCCTCCGAGTCAAGCAGTGATTACTTCAGCACAGTGTTTGTCAAATTAGGTATCACTTATTAAGTTTACAATTGATTCAGTGGGTTAGAGCCCCAATTTTCATTTCAGATGAAAAAAATGCTACAAAGTAGATAATATCATCTATCCACTATTAAGGATAGATACTATTTGAAAACTTCCATTTACTATATATATATATACACATACACACACACACACCGTGTGTGTGTTTCAATTAATATAAAGTCTTCTTACTGTACTTTTGGTGTAAAAAAGTCAGACTACTGTAGGTGGCATGAGGAGCAGCACACCTTAGAGCATTCGTCTTTCTAGATGACTGTCTCTGGTTCTTCTTCCAATGTCAATGGCTGCCAGCATTTCAACTCCACCCACTTGACTGCTTTATTGGCACTAGCTGGCCTTCTGTGTTACCCAACTCTTGGACCCATGGTTTGTCACTAGCAACTACATGTTTTTATTTTCAGATTTCGTTTTGCTGTTTGTATGACTTTTTCTTAACCCCGGAACCATCTCTTTAAGCTCTATTCAAGGCATCCTAAACTGAGGTTCTTGCCCAACATGGTCCTGATGTATATTATTTTGAATAGAGCTCTTACTCCCACTTCTTTTCTATCAGTGTTTTTCATTGCATTTTTGTATGTTTTGACCGAAATACATTTAGAGTTTTCAGTTACTGTTCGTTCCTTGTATTTTCTTTGTGGTGGACAGTCACCACATGCCATTTTTGCCAGAGGGATGGCTTTGACTTTGATGTGGTTAAAATAGAGAGAATGTCAGTTGTTTTAGGATTAAAGAATGATTATTATTATGAGAAATAAAAGTTGAGATTTATCATGATTAGAAATTTGCAGGTGAGATCTGACTATGACATTTAAAAATTCAAGAAAGTCTATTGTCTTGAAGATATCTCACATATAAGGTTTGAAATGAGAGTCATGGTCATTCTTAGAAATGGAAGAAAGGCATCAACCAGCCAAATGGTGAGCTGAATGAGACTGTAAATACTTGAGGAGTAAGTGAGATCTGTTTTCAATTGGCCTATCATGTTCAGTTCTTTTTCTGGTCTATAGTATTTGAGGTTTTTTTATAAAATACTCATTGCTTAATTATTTTTGGCTGTATTGATTGCTGCTTGGTCATTCTTTATGAGATGCCTGATCTTTCTGCTTACAGACTGTGGTTCCCCACAGCCAAGTTCTTAAGACCCAGTGTGTGAAATATATATTCTGCTGCCCAGTGAAGGGTGACAGTTTGTTGGGCAGTTAGAACTTTCCCATGTTTCACTGGAAATTTATATATGTAAAGTTCTCTGCCATATTAAACTTTACTGTTTGTGCATTGGATCTAGGCAGAAATCATCAATAGAACATTGCTGGCTTTCATTCTTTTTTGTTCTGAGTTTAGCCTTTGGAGTTGAGGTTAGTTTCAGTTATGGTGCATTGTTGAGAAGAATAGGTGGATGGTATATTAAGCTGTTCCGTGTGTGTGTGTTGCTGATTCTCTGAGAAAAAATACATATGTATAGGTTTATTCTTAAGTTTATACTGTGTAAAAGGATGATTATAAGCCAATAACAGGGTTTCTAAGGAGGAGTTTTTTCTTTCTCTTTGGAAAAGGAGTGCCAGAAATATAAACTGCTGGAGAGTAAAGAGGAGTACAATACTTTGGGATGCAAGCCTGGTGGAATCAGAGGATGTGAAAATTATACTTTGTTTGGGCTTGCCAGCCTGTGGGTGTTAGATTTATTCCTACGGCTGTACAATTCTTTATTTGCTGCATTATTCATCCTTCAGGCCCTTAGCCCACTTCCTTCCATCTTCCTAGAGATGTGTTTGTCATACCTTCTCTCACATGATAAAATTGAACCAAAACTTTCTTTCTTTTTTTATTTTTTGCAGACAAGTCATCTGTTGCCAGGCTGCAGTGTGATGGTGCAATCCTCACTTTGATTTTCCATCCTGGGGTTCGGCAGATTCTCTTATCTGGTACTCCACAGTATCTGGGATTACAGGGGCGCACTGTCTGTAGCTAATTTTCGTTTTGTTTTTTTGGTGGCTGAGGTTTCATTTGGTCAGGCTAATCTCTCAGCTCTGACCTCAGATGATCCACCCTCCGCCTCCCAAAATGCTGGGATTACAGGCATGAGCCACCGCGCCCAGCCATAAGCTTTTTGATGGACTTTCCTTGGGTCCCATATATCTCCACTCTCATTCTCCACCCCTTCCTCCTCTCCCCAGCAGTGAGGCCCTGGTCCCCATTCACCTCTCCACCACAGCCATGCAGCTGTGCCCGCAGCCCTGCAACCTGATTGTGATTTATTTTGAATCAGGATGGTGAAATGATACATGAAACCA